GCTGCGTGCTGTTTCTGTGCAGTTGCTGAGACTAGAGGAAGGAAGCAGAGCGGATGGATGGTTGTTAGGTGTGGTGTGTGAGTGAAGGTGTTTTAGTCTGAATCTTTTGTGTAGCTGTCAGTGTGAGTGATACTTCACTGGGCATGCAGAAAATGGCCTGCACTCAGTGTGACATCTTTGGCCTGTTTCTCCCAAGTCTCTTCAATCTTTAAAATACACTTCTGCACAGAGGATGTTATGACCTGATGTACGCCAGAGGAGGAAGAGAGGGCTTTTGTTTGAAAGCTCTTTAAATTGTGCAACCTTTAAACTTTATAGTCACTTAAAATGTAACCTTGAAATCTTGTGCTCTGCTTTATGCAGTTCCTCTGTCCCAAGACTCTTTCAATTGACCTTCTGACACAAACTCCTGTTCAGGCCCCAGTGGTGAAGAGCCCAGACGCTGGCTCTTGGCTTTATCTTTAGTAATCTTTTACTCTCAGTTTCAGTCTGGCCCCTTGCAAAAGTGGCACAAGCTGTTGTTTGGCCTCCTACATCGCACTGTCCCTCTGCTCTTATTTGGCTGAGGGGATTACTGAGCCAACTTGTGCAGGATTAATGAAGGAGAAGGAATTCCTTTTGTACAGTGAGAGCAGGAAATAAAACTGAGGACGGTGCAGGCGCAGTGCATCTGACATTTCGATTACCATGAGCTTTTCTGTTTAACCCCTGCTGTGTTGGTTTATAATCTCAACCACTTGGCTTAGAGGATCTGAAGAAACTAAACTTTGCAAAATTTTAAATGCCCATTATCTTTGTGGAGGACTTTTTTTTTATCCGTATCGAACAGCATTAAATCAACCTCTCACGGGGTTTCACCTGGCTCCACATTAATCTCAGGAGTGATTTTAAGAGCGCAGCCTGTCGCAGTCATCATCTCCTATGGCTTAATCTTTGTATGGTGTTTTGGCTGAACCATTAGGAAGGTGTATATAATGAAGGCTCTCTTATATGGTCGCCTACTCGTGTGGAAAAGTGTGAAGATAAACAGCACGACGTCAGCGACCTAAACCACAAGTGCTACCTGTGAAATAATGATTCTGATCTAAATTTTGCACAGCGTACAAAAACAACCCTTGTTGTTCCTCCAACGGAATATGGGGCATTTGTATATTCAACATTTATTTTAAGTCAACTTTCCAAATTTGCGTAGTGCGTAGGTTATAGGATCCATCTGTGGGTTAATTAATATCCGGAAAAGGACAAGCCTCATGGACAGGAGCTTTCCCAGCCTTTTCTATTGGTCTCTAAACAAATTAGAGGGAGACAAAAACACTAGAGCTGAGCTTTGTTATTGAATTACATCTGACATGCTCCCCTGAGAGTATAATTCACAGGATACTAAAAGGCTCCGGCGAACTACAACATGAACAAATTAGTTTGTTTTGTACTTATCCCGTAACAGGACTGCTGGAAGGGAAAAGGGATTTAGAGGCAGTTTGGAGAAGTAGTGTATTACAAAGATTACCCACGGCTGTGGTCATGTATTGTCCTTCATGGAGATTTAATGTGCTTAACTTGTTGTTTTTTTTCCTTCAGCTTAACCCTGTCATGACAAACATGAAATATATCCCTTTAGAGCTTGTACAGGCACAGTTGTCTTTTTATGTTTGACCTGAGACCAAGGGTCATTTGTTTTTAAATAAGATCAGGAGAAAGAATTAGTGCAGCACTGAGATGGAAGGGGAAAATAAGTTTGTGTAACAGTTACCACATTTTGGGTAATATCCTTTAGTTTCTTCCTAAGAGTTAGGATTGACACAACTCTTATGTCTATGTGTAAAGCAGTGGCGCCCCCAGAAATGTTTCATAGTGGTGGCCAGATGGAGATGAAAATCACACTAAAACAAAAACCAGAGGGGACTGCATATGTTATTTTCTTTCACATTAACTATTCATAATGTAAAATATAGAATATCAGATAGAAGTACATTATGCATGTACGATTCTCAAGGAGGAACCAGTAGGCGGTCCAGCAATTGTCCCTTTGGTGGCACCACTGATGTAAAGTACAGAGCTGGAGCCAAGATGTGGTTAGCTTAGCTTAGCATAAAGACTGGATAGTTATTGGATTTATGAGGAGTTAGGGGGTCACCTCCCGGCTCTAGCTCTATACTTTATGGACAGACAAGAAAGTGATGTCGATTTTTTCACCTAACTCTCAGCAAGTAAGCGAATAAAGACATGCAGAATTTAACACACTGTGTTGTTCAAGATTTGGTCATGTTTCCATGCAGCAGCTCCCAAAGAGGAGGGTTTTTTTTGAACACCTCTTATACAAATATTAGTCTCCAGTTGATGAAGGGAAAAAACAACTATAGTGAAGCAACATTGGACTTGAAACTCTGCTTATGCTTTGACTACAAGATCCAGTTCACGTTCCTTCTAGCTTAATCTCGTTGTGAGAGACTCAACTTGTTGCATGCTTTTCCTCTGCTCGATTTGACCTTAAGACAAAACATAAAACATATTTTAGTTAATCTTTCATGTGGAGATTATCGACACGTTCAAAATTGCGTTCCCCTTGTTTCCTGTGCAGAGGCAGCAGATTGAAAAGGAGGCATGGTCCCTCACAGATTAGGAATCTTTTCCACATGTGAAGCTTGTGCTGTGGCACAGTGTTATCATCAAGGAGGCAGCGTTTCTTAAAGCAACCGGGGGTAGGCACGGATCTCGGTGGAAACATTTATCCTCTCAGTGGTCGTGGACTTGTGGGCTAGCTGAGCTGTCATCCCCTGGAAGGTGATTTCACTAACTGAATTTCCTCTTTGAGGTTTCCTGTGGTGAAAGCAATTGTGATGTTGTTGCTATGAGAAGACAACACTCGGTTTCTAAGGAAACACTCGAAACAGAGAAAACACAGGCCTCATTTGCAACACCACAGGCAAATTTGCTAGTCACTTAGTGACTGCAGCCCTCTGTCACGAAAGTGCTGTTAAACTGCACAGTTTCATTGGTATTTAGCCACAATAGCTTCTGCCTGCGTGCCTACATGAGTTTGTGGGTGTGAATCCTTCTGTCTGTATATATTGAGGTGGTAAAAGCTATTTGAGCTTAATTGTTTTAAACTTTGATTTCAGATTTTAACAGATGAGATTTTGTCCTGCATTCAGAGAGGAAATTGGCCTGAGCCTGCTATCTACCTTCTTTTCTTATTACAAAACCTCAGAAGCTAACTGAAAGAAGAGGTGAAATCCTGTCATGCTTTGGCGCCTCACGGACGTCGCTCATTTCCAAGTGTCAACCGCAAAGATGTTTCAACTGTATGCTCGTGAGAAAAAGAGGCAGCGTGGTCCCATCCCAACGATAAAAAACCCATATTTCTTTGTTTCACACTCCTCATCTCACCTAAATGAGTCAGTTCATACCACATTATAGGTAGCGAGCCACACCTAACAAATCTGTGAGCCATTTCCGTTATGTGAAGAATAAACTGTGATGTGAATGAGGCTACAACCACGTGAATTTGTTGACTCCCTTCCTATGTGGGTGGTCAAGGCAGGAAGCAGACCGTGCATTCACTCTCAGCACTAGCCAGAGACATACAAAGCTTAGTCACAGTTTCCACACTTGTTCATTAACTAGCTGCTTTTGGCATTCGAACAACTTACTGGAGACTGATAGCAGCGATGTGCAGGCCAACCTGCAGCCAGTAAAGAGGATGTTTCTAATGCTGCAGGGCCGGAGGAGGAAGTGGAATATCAGAGATGATTTTATCTTATTTTGATGGTAAATTGAAACTTGCGTTGCTGTTCTTGTGAGTAGCAGTGGCCAAACATGGATCTGCTTTGTTGCTGTGTGCCAGATACAGTCCAACAGTCCATACTGCAGTCTAATAATACCACAGATCACAGGACTTCCAGTCAGGGAGAAATTTGTCTCCCAAATTGAGCTTTGAGTCTTCATTATCTGCCTGCAGTCTGAGTCACAGTGCCAGACTCTCACCCTGCTGACAGCACTTTAATGAGGATTTTGGACCAAGCTCCACATTTTATCTCCAGCTGCCCACTAGAGCAGATTGGGACCAGAGAACTTGTCTCTGTAGTCAGGTGTCTTCCTCACAGTGTGTGTTTGTATCTGTTTGTTCAGTGTGTTGCCCTGCAAGGATGAGTAGGCGGAGCCATGTGATCGTAACGAGTAGTAGTGACTGTGTGTGTCGCTACCACTGCTGCACTCGCCTTGTGGTATTAACTGCCTGATATGATCTTTCATGACAGCCAAAATGTTTCTCTGTTTGCTATCTTGCTTCACACTGTGCCTCCTGGAAAAAAACACATAAAAGTAGAGCGGAAACAAAAAAAAGGGCTTCTCAAATGGGTTGAAGGTTTGCAGCTTTTTGGATTATTGCTTGGACGAAGCAAGACATTTGAATCGAGACAATCACTTTGGGCTCTCAAAACTGGTCATGTGTATTTTTCAGATTGTTTGACACTTTATGGACTGACTAATAATAATAACACTTACATGCTGTAGAGTTATATTACATCCCATGGCCTCCCTTGATGTTGATACATTGCTAAAATTGTCTGCTCTGCATAAAGAGTTGATTTTTAAATGTAAGTCATTCATGAATTCACTGACTTTGTTGCATGCCACACTGGGCTTAGATATATTAAAAAATAAAATAAAATCTTATTGTCCCACCAGAGCAGAAAATGTCTTTGTCTCACCAATAAAAACACAATAAAACACAATATAATAAACAAGCAATATATGTGCAAAAGTTGATATTGAACATATTGATTGCACATCATATAAGGGATCCTTTGTATATCTATTATTTTTACTGGACCATCATTCTGAAGATATTATAGTATTATACATTGCATCTCATGATTCTGGTTGGTGATCTGCTGTGTAGTATCTATAGCTGTTCTAACAAAACTGGGGTACTCGTTTTGAAGTGTCAGGTGATTAAAATCTAAACCAAACATTAAAGTTGATATCTGTTTCTTGTGCAGGAATCCTCTTTTCCACTCTGGTGTTTGGACCAGCTTGTGGCTTCATCCTCGGTTCCGTCTGCACTAAGTTCTACGTGGACGCTGTCTTCATCGACACCAGTGAGTCTAACATTTCTCCACTGCTCTTTTGAACATGTTTCTCTGCGCATGTGGTGTATTGATTGTCTGCTGTGCCTTTCCACAGGTAAGCTAGACATCACTCCGGACGACCCGCGGTGGATCGGGGCCTGGTGGGCAGGCTTCCTCCTGTGCGGTGCCTTACTCTTCTGCTCGGCCCTCTTTATGTTTGGCTTCCCTCAGTCACTGCCGACCAAGGAGAGAGAGGAGGGGGCAGACAGTGAGCAGGTTATGCTTCCTCCCTCTCTGAATTCAGACTATGAGACTCCTAAGTCCAGTAATGGGGTTGTACGCAACCACGAGCCTGCCAACAGCCCCACCTGCTGTCAGCAACTCAGGGGTGAGTGTGCAAGATCCTGTAAGAGTGCTGCAGTGTTGTCATGCAAGGAAAATACACATTCTGTAAATGTAAAAACATTTTAAAATACAGGAGATATTATGATCAATTTATTTTCTATATTTGTCAAATATGAATAAGAATTAAAATGTTAAAAAGTATGAGTTTGAAGCTATTGGAATTGCTTACTACTAAGAGTGACCAGCTCAGTGGTAGAAAAGGGTTCTGCTCCTTTTAATTAAAAATAATCATACTTCAGTGTCACAAGTAATGTGCTGGAAATGTTCATTTGTCATTGATTTATTATTCATATTATTTGATAGCTAAACAGAGCAGATGACAAAGAATACATAAAGGCAACAAGAGAGTCATGTCAGTCCTGTTAACCAGCATGCTAGGATATTAATAGTTTTCCTCTCTATGTCTGCATGACTAGTGATCCCCAAGGTGACCAAGCACCTTCTGTCGAACCCAGTGTTCACCTGCATCATCCTGGCAGCCTGTATGGAAATTGCAGTCGTGGCTGGCTTTGCAGCCTTTCTGGGGAAATACCTCGAGCAGCAGTTCAACCTCACCACCACCTCAGCAAACCAGCTGCTAGGTCTGTGTTCACACCAATCATGCACAGGCACACACATCTGTATACCAGTATAATAAACATGTTTTGTCTTAACTTTATTTTTAAGGAATGACCGCCATTCCATGTGCGTGTCTGGGGATCTTCATGGGCGGTCTGCTGGTGAAGAAGCTGAACTTGTCGGCGCTGGGAGCCATCCGCATGTCCATGCTGGTCAACCTGATCTCCACTGCCTGCTACGTGTCCTTCCTGTTCCTGGGCTGTGACACCGGCCCTGTCGCAGGAGTGACAGTCACATATGGCAACAGGTAAGAGAGAGCCTTAAAATATGGCAGCCATTTGAAATTAATGTTGAATACAAGCACTGACAACTTATTGACACTTATTTATTAAACTGCTGACAGCTTGTAAACAATGTGTAACTAGTGATGAGGGGTCATATGTAGACATTTCTTTGTTTACAGGCCAAAAAAGTTGGGAACCACTGGGTTATAGCAGTATTATTCTGTTATATGATATATCTTTGCATACTTAAAGTGACTTAACAACACCCTGAAGTGAGTGTTACATAGTCACGCTGTGTTAAAGTTACCGGGTTTAAAAAGAATTTAACTTCCTGGATAACTGGTCTTTTGACATGCTCTGTTCACCCAAGATTTTCCAGTTTAGCAAAGAGTCTGTTTCCATGACAAAGCCGGTCTTGTAACAACTAACATTCAGCTGATCAGGAACAGAGTATTGTATGTAAGAAAAGATTAAATAGTTGATCCCCAGAAAAAAAAAAACGAACATCTCCATCTAGAGTCAGCAGAGATTTGAATACTGTAGATTGTGAAATAACATTAGGATTTGTGTCCTATCATAAGGACCCAGTTGGTCTAATAAATAAATATGAGCTGTGAAAAGCTCCTTCCAAGGTTAGAGGACTTTATTGGAGGTGAACTGCAGAGGGTCTAAATGTGTAAATAAAAATTCTTATCACTGCCGGTCATTGGGGCACAGTGGGCTTACTTTTTATTCAAACAACTTTGTGTCATCTCATCCAGTCTATAAAAAAGATTTTCTATTCATAAAGTGACCTTGTGTTCCTCAAAGCTGCGCTGAATACGAATGTCACAGACTTCACAGAATCAGTCACCAGTCCTATGGTTTCAGAGCAAAGTTATCGTTCAACAGGACATTTCATCGACTTTTATATTGATTACCTGGTCGACTGTAACTACTGCTACTTGATAGAATTGCTGTTTTTCATACATATAAAGAGGCATTTATTAAAATCTTTGTCGCTATCTATTTTTTGTGGCCTGTCGTTGTCTAAAGCTGGGAATTGTTTGACATTTTCTGATAAAATTGGCAATAAAATACCTAAGTTTTGACACCGATACCAAAAAGCTACTTTTATACTAAACAATTTTTTTGCTTTAACAAAAAAAACCAAACTCCTTAAATGTATTAAATGTTATCTAAACAAAAGCAGCCTCACAAAAACTTTATCTACAAAGGAAGAAATCTAAATTTGATAAAATTATCATTCAATTAGTACATTTCTGGTTAAAGAAGAAGAAAACAATACAGCATATCTGGCATTCTTACTCTTTTACAATAGTAAATTTAATGTCTCCGGGATTTAGACTGTTCGTCAAATGAAAAAAGATTGTTGAAGACATTTTGAACACTGGAATATGCTATCGGCTTTTGTCACAGTTTCATGTCCGAAGCTGCAGCCGATACAACAGTATCACAATATGGAGTATGATCTTTGGCCTGAGCTATAGGAGGGAGGAAGGGGGTAATTGATCCTTTACACAACATTTTTAAAATTACACATTTTACACACATATACAGACAGTCAATTTATGTTTTGTATTACATGGAGATGTCAGGGGTTCTCCGGGCCAGTGGGCCCCTTTGCATTAGACCACTTACTGTAGATCACTAAGCAATTGATTTATCGGGCGTTGTTATAGATCCATAGTATGTATTATCTTACTACAAAGACATTTATTCAGAATATTTTCTTTATATTCGTTGTCTTTTCAGTGTAAAAGCAGTATTTTTCTCTGTATGGTGGTCCTTTTTTTAGAAATACTGACTTTAGGCCTTTTACTAGTTTTCAGTGTGGTAGCCTGGACTCCAGAACAGGTTAGCTCTGCAGTGCAGTTTCCATGGAGATGTAAAACTGGACCAGAGACCCATAGCATTACTGATAAAGGGCTGAGAGTGTTTCTTCGATTTTGCTTGTGCCTCATACAGATGTACAGTAGTTGGTACTCAGAGTGGGAAAGGATGCTCAGCTTTCTCTCCCTGTCTCTGTTCAGGACTCTGCGTGTCGGCGAGAAACCAGCAGCACAGTGCCTCAGTCACTGCAACTGCTTCACCTCCTCCATCAGCCCGGTGTGCGGCTCCAACGGCATCACCTACTTGTCTGCCTGCTTTGCGGGCTGCACCCGATCAGCAAGCACTCAGGCCTCTAACATCTCTCAGGTCTTTACCCTAAGACTGCTCTGTGATCGTGATCAGTGAAGAAAAATCAGAGGCACAATCCTCAAGCACGGAATAGTTATCTAACTTACTGTACCGCAGAAAAACGACCAGCTTAATCACAGATGATGCAGACTTTTCTTTATTAAAAATTATAGTTTAAAGTAAAAGAGTTCAGTATTTCACGGTTCTGTCGTCAGCTATCACACGCAGGGCAATCAGGTTTTACTGTGGTTTCGAGATCAGATGTCAACTGCAGATTAGTCTCTTCAATATTCAAATCACATGCTGAGAGAATTTCTTTCAGCTCAGCAGCACAAAACATAATTATTACTGCTGTCTCACTGCCGTAGTTATTGTAGTATTTAGTCATTTTTTTAAGTGCAGATGTAAAGTACAATCACTTAGCTCTACTGTGTTGATACTGGCTTTTCCTCCAAATGTTAAAATAGTGAAAATAACATGTCTTCCCTGTGATTCATCTGACTTGTATTATTCAAATGGTTCAAGGTTTAACCCTTTTGTCTTTTTTCTCTTCACAGAACCTGACTGGATGCAGTTGTATATCTGCTGACAGTGAATTCGCCACAGCGGTTCCAGGGAAATGTCCGACGCCGGGCTGCCAGGAAGCTTTCCTCACCTTCCTGTGTGTGATCTGCGCCTGCAGCCTGGTTGGAGCCATGGCACAGACTCCTTCTGTTATCATCCTAATCAGGTATATATATGTGTGTATTTTTGAGTATATGAATGGGTGTCTTCTTGCATAGAAGTATACGGAAAACAAAACATTATTGTATTCTATCTGCTTCTCTTGAAGGACTGTGAGCCCTGAGCTGAAGTCATACGCACTTGGAGTGTTGTTTCTTTTGCTACGACTCCTCGGTAAGAACTATTAAAACAACTTTTATCAGATAACACATTCATTTTAAATACTATGGGTCTGTGTCTAGAACCTCAGACGCTTTGGAGCACATACAGAGACAGTGTTTGGATATTAGTATACTGTAAAGAAAGAAAGGGTAAATCAGTAAAAGAAAGACTGATGATTTGCTTTTGACCCAGAATGCACACAAAGTAGTCTTTATTATCCTTGAAGTAATTTTTGTGGGCTCAGTTAGTGTTTCTGTTTTACAGGATTCATCCCCCCTCCTCTGATCTTTGGTGCTGGGATCGACTCGACTTGCCTTTTTTGGAGTTCAGACTGTGGCGATAAGGGTGCTTGTCTGCTATACGACAACGTAGCTTACAGGCATCTGTATGTGGGCCTTGCCATCATTCTTAAGGGCGTCGCCTTCCTCCTCTACTCCACCACATGGTATTGCTTACGCAGGAACTACAAGAAGTACATCAAAGGTCATGAAGGCTACATGACACCAGCTGAGTTTTACCCCTCTCTCACAGACGGACCCAAACAAGTTGACAGGACAAAGTTTATATATAACCTAGAGGACCACGAGGTTTGTGAAAATATGGAGTCAGTTTTATAGTTTGTTACGCAAGAAAAGGACAATGTGGATGTCCATATTCTCTCAGAGGACTATTTTATGATTTTATTCTTATTTTCTTGAAAGAATAAAATAAAATGTTTTTGATAAAGGCAATCTATTTAACGGCCTGTTCAGGTCACAGGAGATGTGGCTCTCCACTGCCCTCCAATGTCCTCGGTCAACTATCGAAAGGGTCCATTTTAGTCGTTTACGTATCAGCGAGGTGTTGTCCAGTGTTGCCGGTGAATTCCTGTGTTGACTTGGTGGTAGAAGACGACTACAGTACTGTCTGGCTCAGTCCTAGTTGATTATTAGTGAGTGGACATGATGCTACTACAACTATAGTTGCCATATCGTTTCCTTTCAGTCAGTGCACTGTGTGTTCTGTCTGTCACTCTCTCAAAAAAACGTTTGGGTGGTTCTTCAGTTATTCATATTTAAAAGTTGCCAAGTGTTTACAAACTAATAGTTCAGCATTTTATTTCAGTGCAGGAAGGTTTCTTATAAAACGAGAACATAAACACCTTGTCCTGGTTATTATAGTGGCCTGTTAGATGTTTTAACTGTCAGAAAATCGAGTCTAATAAATCTAAACAAGGTCATGTTTTCATGTCATCATGCACTGTTCGGTTTCTCGTTCTCTTGCTGGATCACAGGCACTGTTTTCGATACTGTTTAGACTAGACTATGAAGTCTTGTCTCATAGGTGCAAATGTGCAATTCATGTCTGATACATCCATGTTTATTACTAGTTTTGTGTCAGACTGCAGGTTTGTTTTTAATTATAGCAGTTTGTTTCATTTCCATGTTTGTTTTTACATCTGCAGAGTTTATTCAGCCTAATATGTCTTAATAAGGGATTATTCAATAAGAATGTTAATTATGTTTTCTTTTGACTTTTGCACATAGTGGAAGAGCAAAGAGGAAAGTAATATGTCTTTGTGTTTGGACATTCAAGTAAAAGAGGTAATGAGTAATATATTTGTTTCATTAGGCCCAGAATGTTTTATTAGATTGTATTTGAGAGGACAGTATAAATTATATATAATCTAATTGTCTGAGATGTGTGTGTCTGATGCCACAGAAGATTTGGGACAATTCATAGTGATGAAAGTAGTATGTTGCATTATTGGGGGGGAAACACAACATGTGTCTTCAAACCTGTAATATTTGGGATAAGGTTACAGAAATGCTACGGGAGGCTGTATGTGCAAGGTCAAACAAAGTGAACAACACAAAGAACACTGCATTTATTCCTGGACATGTATTTAAACAACTCTTCAACTCAACTAGGCACATACAACCTTTTACTCTACTGATCTCTCTCCAGTTACAGTTTTGACATCGTCCCTTTTCTTACACTTTTTGTATGGCAACATATAATTTGTTTTACTCTGAAAATAAATTATTTTTCAGAAAATAGATACAAATTTGTGTGTTTTTGCATTCTTTTTGTATAGTTTGTCATTGAGAGCTGCTTTGTCCAATGTTATTATTATAGTTTGGTTTGGTTTGGTTTCATTCTGTCATGAACAACCTACACAAAACAAACTTGTTCAAATATTCACACAACAAAAACTAAAAAGACACAAATTCAATCCAGTAAGGGACACAGGCATACAGAAACTAAAAATATAAGTTATATTAAAATAAAACAAGCTATAAACAGCATATAAAACAAACAAGGTGTTATGCATAAAATTGTATGACACAATAAAAACTCAATATGAGTTATTTATTACAATAACAAAGACTGCTGTGCCTCTATTAAATCACTAATTATACTAATAATACATTTTTACTAAGACTGGTGAATGAATCTCAGAAATATATTTTTTGATGAAATAAGGTAATTTAAAAACAGATAATATTATTGAAATACTACAAAATGTTTAATGGTAATACACTGAAATGTAATTTAAAATAAGTTTTGCCTTTCCTGATATTGAAACAAATATTTGTGTGTGTGATATACAGTACACATTGTATAGAACTATTCTATCAAATAACCTCGTTGAAGCTCTATGAAGGGAACAGCGCGAGGTTTTCAACTGTCCAGCTCATCGTATATTCTCAATATTGTAGTATACTAAGTGCTCACTCAGTAAGATGTAAAGCAGTGAGCCAAGAAATTAATGGCCCACACAAGCACAGAGAGTTCTCATATTTTGATTTGCACAGCATATTTAAAGCTACCAGTTTAGTCACTATTCAGAAAGGAGCCTTTGTGATGCTTTCCCAGACTGCTACTGAATGTGTTATTGTCCTTTTAAAAGCTGCAGAACTTTAATTAGTGTACAATGTAGATAAGGATGGTAATTGATATTGATATATATTGATATTTATTTATACGGCGCAGACAGTAAACACTGCTGAGAGAATGAAGGACAACAGAGCAGGCAAGTTTATTTGTACAGCTCCTCTCAACAAAGCAATTCAAACTGAAGAAAAGGCATTACAACTATATGCAGGAGAGAGACGAGGCAATAAAAAGCAGCACATAAATAGAATTTTAAGAGCAAAATAATAATAGAAATAATAGCAGATAAATATAATTGAATAAAACAGGAGAGTGAATGTTACAGTGCGGTACAAACTATGAATCCACTCAATTTATTCAACATCAGAGGCAAACGGAAACGTTTTAAGGTTCTGATTTAAAAGAACTGAGTTGGAGCAGATCTCTAGTTTTCTCAGAGTTTGTTCCAGGAATGTGGAGCATACAAACTGAATGCTGCTTCTCTATTAGATTAGATAAGAATCTGTGGACTGGACATTAATCAGACAGTCTGAGAGGTCTGAATTAGTACATCATAAACGTATTTTGGCCCTCAACCACTCAGTATTTTATAAAATGCCAGCAGAATTTTAAAGTCACTTTGACGCAGAGGAAGGCAGTGTAAAGATCTGAGAACTGGACTGATGTTATCACTCTGCTGGCCTCCTGAATGAACTGACCTTTAGAGAGACCTGTAAAAACACCATGACAGCAGTCGAGTCTGCCCTAAAGATCAAAGCATGGACAGGCTTTTCTCCATCCTGCTGAGATGTAAATCCTTTAATTCTTTAAAAGATAGTTGGCTGATTTTGATTACTGTGGAATGTCACCAATGTGTTTTGGACCACTTGACTGTGAGGCAGCTTTAACATAATGACACAGATACGTTTGCAGTCTATAAATATAGAGAGAAAACATATAAAGCAGCCAAGATACAACAAATACTGTCTAATTTTTTTTTTCTAGGCAAAAATAAGAGCGGGTTTGAAAGCCAATCCCTTTTTTATTTTCAGCTACTACATTTCCTGATGAAAATGTCAAAACACTATGATTGTGCTCAATAAATCATCATTTTGGGAGCATCTATTCAGTGTGCTTGAGATTGTTTTTTGCCTTCTTGCCTACCTGATAGGGTGTCTGCATATGCACACATTACCTCATCAACCACTACGTCCACGTATCCTGACATTTTGGTCAAACTGTATGTGAGCAACACTTTAAGCGAACAGTGTGAAATAATAGATGACATTTCTTTTGAGGCCAACAATGACATTCCCAAAAAATATTTCTAAAGGTCGCCCTCCGTGTGTTTCAAAAAAAACTGTCACACCTGCACACAGCCAATTAATGCCTGACCTTAGTCTGTCACAGCAGCAGAGAGTCAACGGGGTTCGGTTTAGTGCATGAAGGCATGTCGCTCTTCCACAGTGCACATTTTATCTGCTGTGAATGTGAAGACCGATCAGAGAGGCATTCGCTTTTAAATGTATAAATGAATCAAAATAATGACTTGGTAGCAAAGCTGAACTCCCTCTGCACTTCTGAACAACTGAGCCAAAACTGCGCTTTGTGTGTGTGTGTGTGTGTGTGTGTGTGTGTGTGTGTGTGTGTGTGTGTGTGTGTGTGTGTGTAAAACACCCACAAAAGGAGCACAAACATTTATCAAGGCACCGTTTCTTTGTCATCTTTATCAAATACAACAAAACACAGTCTGCTGGACTGGAATGAATCACAGTTTCATTATATCAGAGATCTCACTTGGATAGAATAAATAATTGATACTCTGTAAACAATAAATAATAAATCATAACTTTATTCAAAATGTTAATGTTTGGCTCGTGTACTGAAACATGGGCTTTTATGAAAACTACATGTAGTTACTATAATTTCTAAGCTCTAAATACAACATGCTTTGAAAAATTAGTGTGTGTGTGTGTGTGTGTGTGTGTGTGTATGTGTAAAGTCTAATAATAGCACAATGGCACTCTTCAACAGGACAAAAAAAGCTTGTGTATGACAACAGCATCAGTATCAGCAGCATCCGCTTCTGTTAACAATACTCTGTGATACACACCGCACTCCTGATGCTCGTCACATCAAAGACACACAAAATGCTAAAACTACTCGTCTCCGGGAACGTGTCCTCGTTGAAAGTCAAAAACACAGAAAAAGCTGACAACGGGACCCCAAATAGAAGCTGCTGCAGGGCAAGAGTTTTCTCTTTTAATCAAGAGGCTTTAATTAGCCTAATGGGTGCTTTAGTAAGACGAACTGTTACACAACAACTCCAGAAGAAAAAAAAATAAAGCAATATATCCTCAGTGGGAAGTTCTGATTTATGTTTTACTTATACTGTTGAGGGATATACTGTGTATGCTTTAGCGAATATTAATCTAGTGGAGTGGAGTTCAGCCTGCTGACATTCTGATTTTCATGCTTGGTTTCTCAACAATAAGATCACAAACTGTAGAAGATGTATATAAATGCAGAATATACAGTCTTAATAATGAATCAGCATTAGATAGCATTTGATGTTATTAGCAGGGTAAATATGGTTATTAGTCTTGTCATTATGCGCCATCTCAAGGCTCCAGCTGCACTTTTCACTTTATGCAAATCAGGCCTTTATACACGTCTATGAAATACATTGTGTAGATAATATATGCATGAAATTTGAAAACAGGCTGCTAACATTTTACATTTGCTTTGACTAATTAATGCCTGATTTGCAATGAAACACCATCGAACCATGTGTTAAAAATCAGCTATCCCGTATGTTGATGGTTATAGGCAGCAGACAGATAATAACAAACTATGATACAGTCGAGCTGAAGATTTTAGGCTGCTATAAAGTCTGACAAGCAAGACTGTGCAAGGGAATGGTCTGAGGGATGAGGATGATGATGATGATGAAAAAAAGGTATAATGTAATCTAGTCATTTTAATTATGGCATACTATAAAAAAAAAATACCACTCAAATGTGGATACACATACTATTGGTAATTACACTGGTAGCTTCCAGTGCAGGTAATGCAGGTGTTATAATTAAAACGGCCACTGTGCACAAACAATTGTAACTTGTAAGATAATTAAAATGTTTACTCAAAGCTTAATCACAAGTTAATTAAGCAGTAATTAGTGAAAGTGAAGCGGGTCTTTTCTGCAACTCTGACATATTATGTGCTAGAGGTATAGCAAACAGAGCTTTTCCCCTTTTTTTGGTTGCAGCGGTAATACAAAGATATATGGTCTGATGCATTTCTTTTTCCAACATCAGCAGTCTTGTCAAAGGAAAAAAAACTAAACTTCTTTGCAAAAAGAATTGAGAAATGTAAGCTCTGAAACTGATTTTTTTGGAAATGATAACAGCATCCAACATTTATTACTTAGAGGGAATATCTCACACCAAAATGAAAAGAAAAACATTGCTTTTATCTCAGCCTTCCTCGCAACTATTTAAGTGTACTGCTCCAAAAACCTTAAACCCCTCTGACCTCCTGCAGCAGGATTCAAGTGGTTTCTAGCTGCAGGATTAAGAAGTGTTTAGATCTTTAATTCAGGTGAAAATACCAATAACAAAAATGTTGAAATAGCCTCTACAAATCCATCCAAAACCCTACCAAAGTAAAAGCACAGAACTATTAGTACTGAAAGTATTAGTGTATTTTCCACTGGTTGAGGTGGAGATTACTGTAGTCCTGGTGCTCCCAACCTACAGTACCTCCAGAGGGTCACAAGATATATATCTGAGGGGATGTGAGATGACTGATGGAAGAAGAAGAAAGAAGAAAAATGTCTCTAATATCTTTTCATCTTTTACTTTCCTTTTATTATCATGAAATATTGGATAATTTTACCTCTTTGGGTGTCCTGGCTTTTAATTCTTTAATAGAAACCTGAGAAGATTAGAGAGGAAATCTGTCTTTGGAGAAACTCAGACACCTAAAACGTGACAACTGTGTAAAATCTGAAAAGTAACCAGTCTCTACAGATAAATATAGTGGAGTAAATACTATTACCATCTGAAATGCAGTGTAGTACACGTATAAAACATTATAAAAAGGTGAGTACAAGCACCTTAAAATGATACTTATTGTATATGTATAAATATATCTACTTCCACCACTGGTGACCAGAGCTATAAAAAGATG